ACAGATAAAATTTAGTAAATAATTTCAATGAAATGTGTTGAGAATTCGATAATCGTTTTTCGAAGGGCTTTCTATTCGATTTTCAAGAAGCGTTGACAACTTAAGTCTGTACACTCGAAAAATTTAATTTACGTAATTCACAGCCAACACTTTTCGCCAATGGCAGCTGTAATTGAAATTGGGTGTGTGTGTGTGTGTGTGTGTGTGTGTGTGTGTGTGAGTGTGTGTATGAGCATTTTACAGCACTTGAAGCTATTTGGCAGTCAAAGACACAAATGCTCAAGAGAGAAAAAAATTGGAAAAAAAATAAAAAGGAAGATTAAAAAGCGAGCGCACAGAGTTATTGAAATTAAACATCAAATGTCAGCAGCAGGCGAAAACGAAGGCCAAAGCACGCACAAAAGCGCAAAAGTCCTGCCACATGAAACACCGAGGAGAGGCAGCAGCAACAAGAACGAAAAAATGGCTGCCACTTGGCTGACAACTTGCAAAAGAGCATGGAATTTGAATTTTGGAATGGAGAGCTTGCAAGTTTTTTGGCAAAAATAAAGTCGATGCAAGCGCCAGCGTCGAAGACAATTGCCCCAGCAAATGAAATCAAGCACAAGCAGGAAAGCGCCCGAGCGGGGATCCGGCAAAGGGAACCACTAAATACGACGACAAGGGCTGCGCACAAATACAATTTACATGCGTACGTGTGACAGCAGAGGGTAAGGATGGATGGACGGACGGGCAACGCTCTATAACATGTCCTTAGGATATTTGTATGCAAACAGGCACAATGCGCTGAAATCGATATGCGGGCGGGCGCGCGCGTCCTCGTCGTCGACGTCTGCGAAGAAGCTGAAGCTGCAGCTGGCTGCCGAGACGGCTCAGGCCGCATCTACTGCTGGTTGCTGGCTGCTGGCAGTTGACAGCCATGTGCAGCGGCGCAATAAAATGAAAAATAGTGCGAAGACGAACAGGACGACGCCGCCGCCTGCAGCTAAAAGCCTGCGGGGCAGCGACAAAGAAACAGATTTCTGATATGCCCATAAACCGTATCGATACGACTAGGGATGGGCCGCAATCGACTCTGATTTTGGCAGTTATAAATTAAATGGAATCGGAAGTTCAGTTGGATTTTTCTATTTCAGACTAGAATTCGCAAACGATATAGAAATACAATATTTTTTTTTTAATTTTGTATAACATTTTATAATACATATTGACAAAATCTTAAAATATATAAAAATATATTAAATGGGAGACAAAAAAAGCCAAAAAAAATTAATCAGTGGTAAATAAAGCTAACGAATCTTATATACATTGGCACTATAAATATGGCAAAGCAGTGTTGATAAAGGTAAACTTACAGCCCAATGTTAGTAAGGGGACTTTAAATCTACGGTAGCACATATAACATGTAACATCATGATTTAAATAAAATAAAAAAAAAAACTATTTTGATTAATATCAAAATTTTTGAAAATTTAACATTTGGTTTTGGAGACCATTTAATAATAATATATTTTATTTAATAATAACATAAATATTAAATAAATAATAAATAATTAACATCAATCTACAAAATTTAGGCTTGCTATATCTTAACACAAATAGTTTTGCTCCGAAACCCACAAGATGTGAGATAAGTGTTGGTAAATGAAAATATTGACCCAGTTGCTGTTAATTAGAATTTTTATGTATACATCCATTCTCTTTAGTATTGCTATAAAAAGTGCTTTGAAATTTGCGAAGTCCAAACCTTATTTTCAATAAAAATCTACACATTGACTGGAAATTACATAATTAATGCCATAATTTCACAAATACATATTTGCCAAGGTTCACACAGGCTGCGCATAGCCTTAACATTAACATTAACATTAACAGCGTCACTTTAACATAAAATGTATATCAAATTCGGAAATTCTGTTTACTGCACCCATCCCTGGTTGCTTTTGCTGCCATAGCTGTTGTGTGTGGCAGTGTGCCGCATTTGATTATATCTGAGCTCTGTTGCTTGATTTGTTTTGCACACATTACCCAACTGATTGTCTATGCCACGTACGGTGCTCCACTCGGTCGCGTATGACTTGCAGTCAACAGTTGCCCTCTATGAGTGAGTACCTCTCGATGCCCGAACTCAAACTCAAATATTCAATGCTCTCAGTTATCCAATACCCATTACCCGGAGTGTTGCCTCGTTTTATGCTGGTGCGTCATGCGCTGCTCTTCCTCTTCTTATTCTTGTCTTGATTGTGCAACTTTGATAAGCAATTTTGAGCGTCGTTCGTTCCCCCTACAATTGTGCGTGTGTCACCAGCAGCAGCTCCCTCTTCCTCTCCCACATTTAGATAGTCATCAAATTAAGGCCGAGGCAAATCAATGCCTTGGATTTGCCCTAAGGCTGCGGCTGCTTTTACAATTCAGCTCATTGTTTAGCCAGCCTAATTGCCAGTTTTACCTTTTACGGACAGGTGAAAATTGTTATAAGACTTCTTTCTCTTGATCTTAACCCTAACACACATGTTCACTAAATGCAAATGAAAAATTTTAAAAATATGCCAAAAGCCGAGCTGCCTGCGCACTTACATGTGCTGTAAAATATGCTTACTTTTTTTGGGTGTGTGTTTTCTTTTTTTTTTACGGTAGCAAATTGGTTACAAACACAGCTGTGGACCCTTACGGGCCATAAACTAAAAGACAAAAGGTATTTGCTTCTTGTTGCTTTTTACCTTGCCCCAAAAATTACATTAGATTGCGAGCAGAACACGTGACCGAGAAGCAGAAGAAACAAAAAAGATGAAGAAGAAGAGAAAAACGCAGAGTTAAAATAATGCGGCTTCGAAGTTATAAAATGTTTAGGTATTTTTCATGGGTGGTCAAAAGGTTCAAGTGGAATGCCAATGCAAATATCGTTGCCGGCCATTACAAAAGTTGTATAAATATTTACGTCATGTTGTTATTGTTGCTGTTGTTGTTGTTGTTGTTGTTGTTGTTGTTGTTGTTGTTGTTGTTGTTGCCGACTGTTGACCACAAAAGAACTGTAACTATGTGCGGTTGCCATTTGTGTAGGACAAGCCAGACAGAGAGCGAGAGAGATGCAGATGAATTTGAGTGGGCTCTTGAATATAGTTATCATATTGTTTCTAGTTATTTAATATATGCATTGTACATACTTGACCCACAGAGTTGTGTGCGAGCTATTTGCTCTACTAAAGATACATTGTTCAGCTTTGTTTCCGAATATTTACACATTGTCAATGGCTTTAATAATCCAAAAGACTTGCAAAAATTAACTAAAATATCTTTAAGTTAAGTACTTTGGCAAAGTTTTGAGCTTTCTGCAATTGATACAGACAAAACAACAGCTCCAAGCATACAGTAATGGTTGATAACAGTAGCATAAATTAAAGAAATATTAAAATAAAGAATACATTTATTCAAGCTTATATCTAAAATAAAGTAAATTATTGAAAAATTGGAATTATATTTTATATTAACTAAAGAACAAATAATCAATACTTGATATCTGAATTTCCACATTACCCAAATTTTAAAGCCTTGCCAATTGAATCTAATCGTAATTAAATGCCGTATATACTAAACGGTTTATATGGTGGCAATTATGTATATCGTATAATATCGCAGGTGCATTTTATTAATATTTAAATCGAAAACAATAATTTTAAAGTTTGTAAAATCCTTTCTAACCCATTTGCAAGTATTGCATCAACAACTTTCTATATACACATCTTGTGATAATTTATAGTTGAGGCTTGCATTTTATGCAGCACACTTGATTGTATTCAGTTATTCCTTTTTTCGTAAAACCAAACAAAACATAAATATTCACCATCAGCTGTTGAAAACTGGCACAACAAACTACAGAGCACACACAATAAACATTTCTGTTGGGAACCGCCTCTTTGTCTGCCTGTCATCGTCGGACCAAAGCACAAATATATATGCCTATATATCTATACAGAACAGCAAAAGATATATACATTTATATATACATTGCATTCCTATATGTATTCCTTTAGAGCTGCCTTCGAGCTGATTACGATTGCGAATTGCAAATCGATGCCGACGAGATATAAACGTAAAAACCGCACGGTAGGAAATTTGAATAAAATGCAATAAGACAAAGAAATCAAGACAAACACATGCATGATAATTTGTAACCGTCGCTGCTGTTGTTGTCGGCACTTTGGGCATCTCAACCTGCCCTCGGCCCCCCTCTAAATCCTCCCTACAACAATCCCTTCCTGTGTATATGCAAAACTGAAGGCAGACGCAGCTCGTGCGTGTAACTCGTGATGATGATACAGTAAAAACAACGAGCTCTAAACAACCTCAGCCACAAAATACATCAAAATGATGCGGTTAAAACCAATGCAAAAAAACAAGTTCTCAAGTGGTTAAGAGGTGTCTGAGCTGTATGTGTGTGCATGTGTGTATGTGAGAGAGGAAAACTACACACACACACACTCAGAGCTGGGCATGGTACAATGAACCACTATCGAAGTGCTTCTTCGACTATTTTAAGTGGAACCATGTTCTTGGTTTTGTTGTTGGCAAAAAGTCAGACAAATGTGTTTAAGAATCAAAACAGAAAACTTGATTGGAGTTCGGAAAAGTTATAGGGAAATGCAAAGGGCTTACATGTGTACAATTTTTTTCAGTTAAAATATATAGTTTAACAGAAGTTTAACATGAGTGACGAACCGACTGATTGGGGATCAACGCACAGCCCAAATCGTAAGGGATGGGGATGGTTCTATTGAAAATTCTTTTTGGAAACTTTTACTTCCAAGTGGTAGAAAATATTGGTAAAAAATTACAAATCGTTCTCTCATTTTGCCAATATTAGTTAAAATACAAAAATATGTATTCATTTTTTGTTTATATAATCTTTAAAGTTTTTAAAAATTCTACAGTTAATATAATACAAAATGCATTTTGATATGATTAAGCACACATTTTCTATGTTCAAAAGTATTCATATTTTCATATAAATAAAACTGTTCTTAAAAAAAATTAATTTAAAATTGAAATCTAATGTATTGAAAATCCAGAATATAAATGCTGGACAAATTAAGAAAACAGCTTGACATATATTTTAATTTTTAGACGATTTAAGAGTTTGCTTCAAGCTAGGGCTGAGCACATGAGCTCAGTTTTCGGTAGATTTAGATCAAGTACGAAATGGAAAATAACAAGATTGTTTTTTTGATAAATATTTTGTCCATTTTAATACGTGCTCTCTGATGGTCTCTCACTCAGAGTGCTCTTTCAGAAAAGTGGGCGTTACGAAACATAGCAGCATTAGGTTTATTACCAAAATTGCAAGGGAGTAGGACAACTAATGGTAGTTGTGCAGCGGTCCTTGGGGGGTGCGCTGTTGGCAAATGCAACTGTCTGACCTTACGAGCTGTAAATTATGCATCTATGCATAATTTATAACTTATGCGTGGCTGGGGCCGAACCTCCGATACATTTTGCCATAGACAGATGCACAGACAGACAATGATTAGAGCCCACACACACACACACTCACACTCACAAGCACATACCTATTATTAACATTGTAGACCGGGGTGCACTGTCCAGTCGTGTGGACAATTGCAATTGCTTGGCAGTAATTTTCAATTTAATTATAGTAATACATATACACACACATACACACACACACACACACTAATACACACAGAGAAGCAACACAGTCACTTGTCTAAGTGCAGATTTGAGCGCATTTGCACTTAAGCCAAAGTTTTATGGCTTGACTTTGCCTTAAGGGCGAACCGACGGCCTGTTTGCCCTGGAGGCTGTGCTGCGTGCAGAGATGAGCGCGTGACACGAACATTTAAGAGCAGACACGACGTGTTCAAGTTGAAAAACTTGATATGGTGCGTGCTCGAATTCAGTGGAACAACTCTTCATGCAGAGATTAGACTAGACACGACCTGTTCGTGTTAAGAAATTCGACTAGGTTCGAAAACTAAGCACGACCTAACACGACATAATAAAATCGAACAGGCTCGGCGAAACCTCACCTAATCCAACAGTGTTGTAAAATAAATGTATGCTATTTTTGATCCAAAACAATCAAACACGACAATAGCTAACACGAATGAAAATTACGTAGGTTTCTTAATGCAATACAAAAATTCAAAATTACGTGATCAAATTATTAGTGAAACTAAATAATTTAGTCCCCTTTCGTAAGCTTCTCACGCACCCATCTCTCATCAAGAGCATTTGCGAGCTCTGAGGAATTGTTCAGTGCGTAAATCAAATGCAAATGTTCTGTGCGTGTAACTGCACTGACAGCATTGTCCTTTCTGCCTGTCCAGCCTGTTCTGTTTGTCCTGCCCTGTCTGTCAGTCTGTCAGTCTGTTTGTCTGGCTTGCATTTCGCCATATTAATTATGCGGTAAGTGCGGTAGCTGGCACTTAAACGCTTGCACTCGCAGTTATCTCCCGTATCCACCCCTACCTCAAAAAGCAATTGACTTTGATTGTAGTTTTCTGACCTGGCCAAGTTTTAGTAGTTTTCATTTTCGCACGTAGCCCTAGACCCAAACTTATCCACATACTATATCGCAAATGAGTAATCAAGCGGCATAGAGAGGCGGTACAGAGTTCCAGCTCGTAAAATGATGCTCACGTAGAAGGTACGTGCTGTTGATTTGATGGTCAGTTAATTATTATTTTTTGCGTTTATGGAGCTCAGCTCTGCACCACCTGGATATGCATGCGATATACATCGAAAATCAGAGTGGGTTACATTTAGTTAGATTGGGTTTGGCTTCAGTGAGTCAAGAATAGATTATGACTGGACAAGCTGCGTTATGAAGTGTCCCATAAAAATGAGACTAACAAGATATTAAAATAAAAGCAAAAATATGCGATACAATAAAAGCAAGAGATATGGCGAGTACGCTGATACGTGTAAATAAGAACTAAAATTAAACGAAAAATTGGATATATGACTAGCTATAAAAGAATTCAGCATAAGAGGGTATAAAATCATGTCCTCTATAATGATTGACCGTTTTTTTGTAGCTAGATTTAAGCTATTTATGACTCTAACAAAGAGATCCACTGCAGTAAGCTTTGGTTCTTTCCGTTCAGCTATGGTTTGAACCAGTTTCCTGGGTTAAGATTTGGTTCGTAAGCCTGATTTCCCTTAAACTCAGGTTCTGATAACATATATTTTAAAAACTACGATCAAAAATGTAATTTTTAATTTGAAATTACTTGACAATAAAGCGTGTTGTTCATAGAGAAGGCGAAGACTGATTAAGAGAGGTATCAAACGCTTTAAAAGTTCTCTATTTGGACTCAACCCAAAAAAAAAGAATGAGGTTCATTGGGGTTTGGGTTCGGCTATATTTGAGCAGCTGATTTGGTTTAAGATGTGATTCATCTTAAAAATTGCTTTTAATTTCGGGCTCGAACCGATTTGCAGTCTTTCGACAAACAAGAATTAAGACTTAAACCTTTTCGATTATACCTCAATGAAAAGAGCTACCACAATGTTTTTCTGGTTGATTGGGAGCAAGTGGATAACAGCCTAAAACTGGAAACTGAACCTTAACCTAGCATCAGGAAAACAACCTTCTCACTATGAGGCAGCATCGAGAAAAACACTTCCTTAATACTTATGATTAATAAAGTTTTTTTTTTTTTGTTTTTTATGAGCCCACGCCACAATCCAAGTTAAATTTGGTATGCCACTGCCCTGCCCTGCCTTGTTGTTTGCGCCTAATACCACAAAATTCACTGGGCCGCATCGTTGTAATGAGATGGCGAAAACCACCAACGCCAGAGAGCATTTCCTATGCTCAATGCCAATATTAATCAATTCTATATGGAGCGCGCGCAACGCTGCTGGACCATAACAATCCCTAACTGGTTATCCTTGTGCAGCAACAACAACAAGTCAAAACTCATTTCGTGTTGCGACTTTTGATTATGATGATTATTACGCGTAATCGCCGCTACATGTGCTACATGCAGCGCCATCGCCCCAGCCGCTTATTGATGAAGTACGAAGCTGATGTTGCCCCACGGCCAGAACCCTGGGACACCTGTGTGTATATTATTATTACACATGCGGCATGCGGCATGCGGCATGAGGCATGAGGTATGGGGGACATTGAGCAAGGGCCAGGTACTGGGCAGATGAATTTAAGCAAGATGCACACGCTGTAAATGGCCACTAATGTGGGCCCAAGCATATGAGCAGAACAACATAAACAGTCTTGGGCATTTATATAGAAACAGCTTAAGAAATGGACTCTGACTTGCATGCTGTATTTGTAATTTCTTGAGGCTTTCAAATCTCAACTAGTTTGAGCTTTTCAACCGATATCACAGTTTGCAAATGAACCGAGAGCTTATTGAGTTATGATAGTTTTCTCTAGCCTATTACACAATGTACCGATTATGTTTTAATTTTTTTCATAAGCTTTTAAGTTGAAAACAGATTCGATTTTACAAAAGGTTTGCTGAGATTATTAGAGGAAATAGTTATCAAATGAGTTATACATAAAACAACTTCTGACTTTAACAAAATGCTTGGTTTTTTCTTAAAAGAATTGCTAAGAATTGAATTAAAGAAGCTGTTACTGTTCTAAAACATAATAATTATAAATAAACCAATCGATGCAAATATCTCGCAATACAACGAATTTGTTTTAGATTGACGTGAAACTTCTTCGCCTGCCTCTGGCTGTTTTACCAGCAATCAAATGATCATCAGAGTATGTAGGACTTATATAGCAACTACAATACAATATATACAAGCTCAAGAGCAGACCCACTGAACGGCTGACGTAACAACAAGTTAACAAGATAATGACAGTAGCGGCAGCGGACGAGTAGGTTTAGTTCAGTTCGGTTCAGTTCAGACCGCGACTCTGGACTGGGTGACGCTCTGCGAGGTTGCAACTAAGTTGCCTGCGTTGTGCCCCGCTCTGTTATTTAGCTGGGTGTGTTGTCTGTGCATGTGTATGTGTGTGTGTGATTCGTGTGGAGTGTGTGTTCGCTTTGAGTGACGTGCCGTGCGCATAAGTGACTGATGGCCGGCGACGTCCAGCGCCCAGCCCCTTTCTTTATGTTGCTGCTGTCTCCGCCTCTGCTCCTGCCCCTACTGCTGCTGCTGCTGCTGCTGGCCAAAGACCATAATCAAGTATGCTAAAAAGACGCGCAACCAAAAAGGAAATTGAAATGAAATATGTACATACATAACCGTATATATATATATGTATATGTGTATGCGATACCTGTGTGTGTGTATGCAAGTATGTGTGTACTATGTCCCAAGGTAGGCAGCGACCATTCGCGTTTACTCTTTCATGGTATTTCGCACCTGGAGCGGCTGCGAACGGCGGCGCTCGCCTTGTTAAGCACAGCGTCGTTAACACTTAAGGCAGTTATACCCTGTATACCCATTGAAAAGGGATGTTACATGCATATTGAGGCATAATCAAGTCTGTCCGCTTGTCTGTCCGTCTGCGCGTATAATATCATATTTGATATTAGCTAAAGACAAAATCGAATCAGGTTTATTATCGAATACCGTTTTCAGGTAAATAACAACTTTACCCACAAGGTATCCACTAGTCGGGCACGACCGACTGGAGCACTTTTACTTGTTACGAGTTGTTGTTGTTGCCCGCTTCGTGGTGCTCGTGCATTGCCAACAAGCTCATTAGTTTCATAATTAGCTTTCGTTATGCTTTTCGTGTATTAATTAGAAGTTATTGCCAGCTACAGTCCAGGCGCCAGCGCACGAATGGGTCCACTCAACACCCAGACTGAAACACTGGACATACTCAACCACGCCCACAACATTGCGCCAAGCACTGCACTTACGAGACCTGCGACTCGACCATGAAAACAAAAAAAAAAAACGGGGAAAATAGAAAAACTTGCTTATCAAGAGCTTGTTTTCCGCACTATAGAGTTAACCTCTTTTTATTACAGATTACAGCTTTTCCTTCTTTAGTTCGTTGTTGTCGTTTTTCTTATTTTTTATCATTGGCCAGCCACAACTAATGCGCAGATAATGATGCTGCGGCTTTGATCGATTTGATAACAATTTAATTTCGAGTGCACGCACAACGCTTTTTTTATTCTCAGGCAAGATTGGCGCAAGATAATGCAATGCGGTGTGCAAGGCACGTAGGCAGATTAGTTGATGGGAGCGACGGGTAGAGGAGTATGGGAGAGAGGGGAGGTGGCAAAGTAATGGATGTACACACATTCAATTTGGCCAGTGGTTCGTGTTTTGACAGAAAAGGTGTCGATAGCCATAACAGAACTGTACAATCAACATTATTTAGTTATTGTCACAATTTATATAATGTTGAGAAGAAAATGCCACAAGCTATTAGAGAGAGTGAGATAGAGCACCAGAGTTCAAAAGAGAGAAACAACTTCTCAAAATACTTGTTGAAAAAATACAACAATAATTTATCTTTAAAACTCTGCTTAAACTATTTAAATATATTCCGAAATAAAAGTCAAGCGACAAACAAGACTCAATTTGATTAAAAGAAAAGAATATAATATACACATACCACAAATAAATCAAAGTGATGCGTTTATTAAAGGTTGCACTTTTCCAGTCCAAACATGATTAACTGCAAAGTATAAAAAAAGGTATTATGAAGCATAAGTTTTAGTTTGAATAATACATTTTATTCAATACACTTACACAATATACATTTTTAGCAAGCGGGTAAAATATAAGTAAGGGCTATGACGTCATAACAAGCGCTGCAAACAAGGTCACAGCAGGTAATGAGCAGCAGACACTTTGGCGGCCTCCAGAAGTAACGAATAACGGACCGCAAAGATTTGAGCATGGGAATCGCATTCATTCAAGCAAAGAATGAAAGTTAAAGAAGAGCAAAAATTCCATGTGTGTGCATGTGTGTAAGTTTGTATAGTATTGCATACAAATAACTGTTGTCTGCTACGGCTTGCGTACAGAATTACATACATACGTAAAAACATATGTATATATGTACATACGCACGCACACAGTTGAAAGCACTTTAGAATTGTATATTTTACTCTTCGACTTTTGATATGCAAGTGTGTACGCTTAAACAGTCGTATTTGCTAATTACACACAAAACCACAAATTTATTTCACTTAAAACATGAAATTGATCACTTTCCTATTTCCTAAGCTCGTTTAAGCATTGCTGCGTAAAATTCGCGTGCTTCTTCTTCCTAGTCGTCCAGCAGGTGGCTTGCAAACATATCAAATTCTAAAGCAATTATAAGCATTTTAATAACTCGATTTCAATTAACGGCACTAACACAATTATAAACGAAATTTTCAAACTCCAATTAACAATAAATTAACACCTTTTTCGGTATTTAACCAATAGGCCCGAACGACACATAATGAAATAGCAAAACTGAATAATGTGACCAAATTGTGAAAAGTCAAAATTATCCAAACATACTTGTTACTTATCACGTGATCGCGTTCCAAAGCTGCGATAGTAACGATGAAAAAGCACTGCCTCTACATTACAACAGATCGTGACTGCTATCGAACATTGTTATTGGTAATTGTGATTTTATACAATGCAGCGATAATTATTTTTGGAAAATACCACAGACTCAACGTGCATTCTTTGCAAATACCAATTTTTACGTAAATTGATTTATTGCATAATTTAAGCTTTTGAATGCAGTTGTATGCGATTTTTGTAGTATTTAAGTTTTTGTTGTTAACATTGTAAGCTGCGCTTTTCAATTTGCTGCGCTTTTAGATCCACAAGCGTAATCAAAGTTCACTTCTGTGCTTTGTTATTGTTGTTGTTGTTGTTGTTGTGTGATTGCACAATTGCTTGCACATAACAAAAACCAAATCTCGCATAATAAACATGGCAGAAAAAAGAAATACAAAAATGCTGAGTAAACCTTATTAAAAAGGGATAACAGAGCACGAGCAACGCTAATGACAATGCCTGCGAGGATGGCCTGAATGAATAAATGAATGGTTGGGTGCGAATGAATTGGTTGTTTGTCAGTGTGTCTGTGTGTGTATGTGTGTGTGTGTTCCCGTTGGTTGTGCAAACACACACGTCACTCAGCCACGATTTCCTTCCGGGAGCAGTGCAACCCGGCCGGGGCTTAACGCCGTTAATGACCAAGAACAGCGGCCTCGCCCTTGCCATCACGGCCGGGGCACTGCACGGGTCGACTCGTTATGACGATTTTATTACGTGTATTCTCAACAATTGATGCTGCATGTCATACGTCAGCAGAAGGTGCGCCAAATCAGGACGCACAGGACGTCGGCAGGATAAACAATTGTTACACTAAACAACATAAAATGCGACTAATTGCAATGGCTTGTAATAAAAGTAGTTATTGCTGCTTGAGCCCGGCAGCAAAACTGAGTTGGTATTTTTGTTGCTATGTTTGCTTAAATCCAAAGCTAGTATTTAATACAACACGTTTCATGTTGTTTAGTGTACAGTTTGTAAGTAAACGAAAAAAAAGTGCAGCATAATGTTTATTTGTCCGGACAATGGAAATTGATGTGTTTCTGCCGTCTGGCCAAGGCATTAAAAAACTTTTGCCCAAGATTTTGTTTGTGAAAAGGGTTGCGCCCGACCCACACACCCCCTGCTGACAGAGACCTGGGACAAATCTGCGTGGCCAATGCAACTTAATTAAATTTGAAAATACTTTGCTGGCCCGGAACTGAAGAATTATGATGCAAACTGTTTTCGCTGTTAATTACAAAATTGTAAAACTCAAAGTTCAAATTGCAATTTGTATTCATTTGTGAAGCCGCCATTAAATTTGTTAAGCGCCGATGCCTAAGCCAACGGCGCAAAATTATAAATTAATGCGGGCGGTCGACTGCGGCTGCGGCTGTGGCTGTGGCTGTGGCTGTCACAGCGGACACCTTCGGAAAAATCGCGGTTGTGAGCTCCCCCGGTCCTCCGGTAGCCCCCTCTACCAGTGCTCAAGCATTCACCCACATAATTTAAATGCATTTCCTTCGGCGCATTAATTTCCTAAGCTTTTTTGCATACCAAAATCCCCGCACAAAACTGCGTTGAATGTAATCCCATGAGCTTTAAAGTCACGTGTGTGCGCCCCTGCCCTTGCCCTGCCCCCGGCACTTGGCTAAAGGAGGCGGAGTTGGAGGCGTGTGTTTCGGCGAGACTGACGCAACACAACAAAAGCGACGGCGACGGCCGCTGCGACGGCGACGGTGAATGCCGACCGCGACGCCAGCGCTGGCATCGTTATTTGTTGTTGTATTTGCATGTAATAAATGTATTTGTTTATCCCCTCGTCTAATTTTTAACTGCATGTGGAAAATATTTCACAGGCGCTGGCCACAGCCAGAAACAAAGAGATGAAATGCTCTGTTGCTAGGGTTGTGTATTGCGTGTTGGAATAAGAGAGAGAGAGAGAGAGAGAGAGAGAGAGTTGTTGTTCAACCAGCTAGCTTTTGCGTAAAGTTTTTTGTAATATAAATTGTCCTGCGGCTAGGCACGGGGCCAAAATTCTATATGCTGGACCCACTCTATATATTTTATAACAGGCTGCGTATTTTCAAAAATATGTATGGAAATATATGGTGGTGTGCATTGCAGAATGCAAATATATTACTGAAGGTCGCTTTAAATACCACTTTCACTTGAAGCTCTTTAGACGGTATTAAATTTTTGATTGAAATAGTCTCATGGAAAACGATTTTCGTACAGAAGAACTAATAATCCAAATCATATTATAAAATTTGTATTTATATCTATAAGAAAGTTTATCATATTATGCAGATCTTTTTATTAATTTTTTTATTTTTGTATTTAGCTTATGCCGTTTGATAGAACATCGGTCCTGTGGCGCAATGGATAACGCGTCTGACTACGGATCAGAAGATTCCAGGTTCGACTCCTGGCAGGATCGAGTTGAAAGCAATTTTTTAAATTATATTTTGCGTTTATTTTACTAAAAGAAAACACCTTTGTGCCACCAAGAACGCGTGTTTTAATAATATGAAAAATTAATTGATTTTTAAATGATTAAATAAGTGTATAAACGAATAGTACATTCGAAACGCTAGCTAGTGTGTACAATGTAATCATTCACCATATTTCATTGCTATTATAAAATTTAAAGCACACTGTGCAAATAAATTGTATTTATAAAATCCAAAAAATTTGTTTCGCCCAACGTGGGGCTCGAACCCACGACCCTGAGATTAAGAGTCTCATGCTCTACCGACTGAGCTAGCCGGGCAGTTGATGATGAGATCACCAATTCGTTACTAGGTCTGACACACACACACGCATTAAATTATAGTAAATACATAGTATATTTATGCTAGAGAACAAATTTATTTTTGGTCGAAATTCTTTTGTTTCTGTGATATTTTAAATGTAAATGCATAAGTATTGAAAAGGTGTTGTTGTAATATTTAATTGAATTTGCTCAAAAGATTCTGTAGAAGTTTGTCTTTATCGAAAGTTTTTCAAATTTGGTTATATATACATGCTAGTAATTAAATATTTGATGTTAAGAGTTGTTAATTGTGAACAATTTTAAAATTAGTAAATTCCTATTTATTTAATAATATAGAAAATCGTATATGTGAATGAACTTTGTACTTTCTATAAGGTTTAACAGAACTCTTCGTCATCTCGACGTGTTCATTCATAAAACCTGTAACAAATGAGTTTCGCTCAGCTCGTTGAAGATCAACGCATACATTAGCTCACAAAGGGAAGTACGAGCTTAAATAGCCCAGCGGCATAAATTCCATTACGAGTACAATTCTGTTCCGTTTCTCAGGGCAGAGCTGCCGCTGCCAAAGAGGTGCCAGAACGAGAACTACACAAAATATTTTGTGCAGAGAGAGATGAAGAGGAAGGAGGGAATGAACAAAAAATGGTTATTCATAATCATTTGTAACGCTTAATTGTTGTCTTTGCGGTTTTACCTCATGGGCTGCTTTTGTATTTTGTTGTTTGCCCGACCGCAAATTGTTTTTAAATTCATTTCTCGCTCGTCCAGACTCTCGGATTCTTTGTGGCGCGCGGCAAATTACAAAGCCCAAATGGGTAGCCTGAGAATTTTTGATTATTGTCATTACATATACTTATATACATATATTGAACCAAAACCATTTGGAAATACGAGTATATTTTCTGTGGAGTCATGTGTGAGGCGTTTCATACTCGAGTTATTTCCCACCATGGCTGTGAAATGCACGCCCAAACTCGAGACGCGCTCGTCTTTTTATGTCTATCTATTATACCCTGTACATTAATGACTGCGTCCAGGCCCAACGAACTCGTAGCCTGTCAAAACTAAAATAAGCAAATTTGGTGTTAAGTTTTCCTGTATCCTATGCAAATGTATTTGATGTGATGGTTTTTCGTATCTCTCACAGAAAAGCGTCTTGGTTTTTGATAGGATAGTATATGTTTGCCTTGGCTATAGGGCATCTGTTAGTCGCTCTCGTTTTACAGTTATTTGTTGCTTATTTTTGTTGAAAATTTAAATCCGCACGCGTTCAGATTTTTGCCTTTGCCCGACCCTGTGCCTCGCCCTGTTGCTGTTGCTGCTCCTGTTGTTGTTTTATTATCCTTTTGCTGGCACTTTTTTATGAGTTAAGCCAGACGCGGCTTATCTATGTGACAATGCGGTAGGCGCCCAGGGGCGGGGCTGCCAGTGTGTATATGTGAGTGTGTGTGTGTGTGTGTATGTGTGGCAATTGCTTTTATTGCCAGCCTACTACCCTCCCCCCACACCACATTTCATTCATAAATAAATTAAATAAAAATATTTTTCCAAGCCGCAAGCCATGCAACAATAACAAATAAGGAAAAAAAATATATATATGTATATAAGAGAGAAAATGTTGAACGGCAAGAAATCTGCATAATGAAGCGTAATACGCAAATGGATGCGGAGTTTTCTGATTGGGGTAGCCGGCAACAGCAACAGCAACAGCCACGGCAAATGACAAGGTGAGGAGTTGGCTTTCAGAGTTCCTTTGCGGGGGAGGGTTAAGTGCGGTTTATGGCCCGCCATGCTCACAATTGAATGATTTAAGGTAAACAGCATAATTATGCAAAAAAAAAAAAAAACCAACAAAAATATAAAATATATGTGATGAGCAGGTGCTGTTGATTTTCTATAGATTTAAATAATACACACAAATAATGAAGAAGCTGGCAGAAAAGTTTGAATAATGTGAAAAAGAAATTATCTCAATTTGCACAGATCCGCCGAGATTCTAAGATAATTTACTATATTGTTCTGCCCAAAAATTTGTTGGCAGGTAAAAATTATACATAATTAATTTTCAGTTGGTTTATTGTATCACAGAATAAAAATTACCAGCTGCAACTTTACATTAAATATAAATTGCTTGAAAATTATTATTTCTTTTTTTTT